TTTAAGTATGTTGCAAATACAGTTTACTGGTCTTTTTAATCTGGTTTATGAGGTATTTTGACTTAGTAAGCTTTACAGTTTTTTTTTTGTCTTTTTGAGACAGTCTCGCTACGCAGTTCAGGCTGGCCTTGAGCTCACTTTGTAGCCCAGGCTGATCTCAAACTTGCAACGATCCTCCTGCCTCAGCCTCCCGAGTGCTGGGATTACGGGTGTGCACCATCACACCCAGCTAAGTTTCACAATTTTTATGAGATTAAATCTGGAAATCTTTTAGTTTCTGGATTTTCTCTTACTTAGAAAGGCTTTCTAACCTTAAATTTAAAAAGTTCACCTTTTCTCTCACCTATATTTTCTTCAAATATCTTTATATTTTTGCCTTTTAATTTACCTAAAGTTGATTTTCTGTGGATGGTTGGTGTGAATCTGTTAAATTCCTCATTCCTCCTTCCCCAAATGAATAACTAATTTGTCCAGTATTACTTGTGAATTAGTCTATCATTTTTTCACTAATTTGCATTATTGTCTATGTTATATACTTAATTTTCATATACAGTTGAGTTTATTTCTAGGTTTATTATTCTGTTCCACTGATCAATTTGTCAATATCTGCGCTAGTATGAGACAATTTTAATTACTGTAGCTTACAATGTGTTTTGACATCTGGTAGGAAAGGACCCAAATAAAATGTTGTTGAATTTATATCAGAATTGCACTGGTGCATAGATGTAGGGAAGTATCAGCATATTTTCCATTCTCAGTCTTGAATTCTCAGCCAGGGATATGGTTTAGTATTTCATTTATTTAGGTGTTTGTGTTATTCAGTAAAGTTCTTCAGTTATTTGTAAAAACATCTTGTTTATTTTCTAGGAGTTTTGAATCTTTTAAAAATTGAATCTTTAAAAAAATACTTTTGAATTAATTAGTAGCAGTATACACGAAGGCTACTGGTGCTGTGTCTGTTCATAGTTTTGAATTTTTTTATTCTAATAGTTTTCAGTTCTTTGTCTTAGGCTCTTTTTGTAAGGTGTGCAATCAGATTGTCTGCAAAGAATGACAAAGTAAGTGTCTTTTCTTTCTAATCTTTATAACTCTAATTTACTTTGTCTTTTGGCCTCCAGGACAATAATGACTAGCATTAATTAATTCTGTCATACTCCTTTTGTGGAAATGCTTCTAACATTGTTTCTGATAGATACCCTATTTTTGTTGTTGTTGTGGTTTTTTTTTTTTGAGACAGGGTCCTGCTCTGCGGTTCGAGCTGGCCTTGAACTCACTGGCCTTGAACTCACTTTAGCCCAGGCTGGCCTCGAACTCGCAACAATCCTCCTGCCCGCCTCTGAGTGCTGGGATTTCAGGCAGGTGTGCGCCACCACGCCCGGCCAGATACCCTATTTTATGTTGGGGAACTCCCATTCTACTCCTGACTTACTAAGATATTTTGAAAAAATTCTGAATGTTGAATTTTATTGAATTTTTTTATTTATTGAGAAAATAAATAATTAATTACTAAATTCTTAATAAATTATTAATTAGTTACTTTTATCTTTATGACAAATTATAGACTTAATTTGTCTAATGTTGAGTTGTCTTTTGCCCCTTGGATAAAGCTCTCCTCGGGCAGTATGTATCCTTTAATATGTCCTTGAATTTGATTTATTAGTATTTATACTTTAGGATGTTCGTATCTATGTTTTTAAGTGACAGCTGGCCACACTTTCTCATGATTCTTATTCTTGTTCTCATCTCTGTTGTTAACTGTAACCAACGGACACTTTAACATTCTTCTTTTTCCTCAAACACACCAAGCTTGTCCCTCTTTAAAGCTAATACAAGTGCCAGGTCCTTTGCCTGGAACACCTCTCGCAAGGTTTCGCAGGGACTGGATGCTTCTTCATACTCAGACACTTTGTCTATTCTAGCCATTTTCTGTCATTCTCTAGTCCTGCAGCCTGCTTTATGTCCTCTGGGGTACTATTTCTGTCAGAAGTGTATATTACTCACCAGCTTGTTTCCTTGTTTGTTTATCTGTCTTTTCTTAGTCAGCTCTTACTACATAAGAGCAGGCTACTGAGTCCTGGGCATGACTGCACGTCACAAATAGATGCTCAAGAAATTTTTTTTTTCTCCCAGTTTTTCTTTTCCTTTTTCTAAAATTTTATTGGTACATTTTAGATATACACAATAATAACATTCATCATAGGGAATTTGTACCTTACGTGACATAGCTTGCTTCTTTTTTTTTTTCTCATTCCCCTCTCTTCCCTTCAACCCCCTTCCCCTCCTCATCTACAAATGTTTGTTTCCATTTTTCTTTCTATCCTTTGTTTTCCTTGTTCCTTTCTTCCTTTCCTCTTCTTCCTTCTTTGTTCCTTCCCCTTCCCATTTGAACATTTTCTTCCCATTCCCCAATATCTATTTTACATCTTGGTCCTTGTTTACACTTTCAATTTCTCACACCAGAGAAACAGTGTAATATTTAAACATGTGTCCAATTTATTTAATTTAAGAGTATGCTCTCAAGGTGCATCCATTTAGCTAGAAAAATCTCAAGCTTATCCCTCATGACAGAGTAGTACTCTATGGTATTAAGGAGCATGTCTTCCTTATCTATTCCTTGGGTTGATGGGCGTTTGGGCTGATTACAAAATTTAGCTATTACAAATTGTGCTACTATAAACATGGATATGCATATGTCACTGGTATGATACTTTTAATTCTTTAGGGAAGATACCAAGAAAGGGAATAGCTGAATGAAATGGAAACTCTAGTTTTAGTTTTCTGAGAAATCTCCACACTGATTCCCAGAGTGGTTGCACCAGTTTACACTCCCACCAACAGAGGCAAAGGGTTCCTTTTCCCCACATCCCCTCCAGCATTTGTTATTGGTTGATTTCTTGATAACAACCATTCTTTCTGGGGTGAGGTGGAATCTCAGCATTGTTTTAATTTGCATCTCTCAAATTACCAGTAACGTTGAATATTTTTCATATATTTATTTGCCATTTCTACTTCTTTGAGAAGTGTTTATTCATTTCAAATGCCCATTTTTGGACTGGGTCTTTAAATTTGGAGGGGTTGGCCTTTTTTGAATTCTTTATATATTCTAGATATTAATCCTTTGTCTGAGCAATAGCTGGCAAAAGTTTTTTCCCACTCTGTGGGTTGTTTTTTCACTCTGTTGATGGTTTCTTTTGTTGTGCAAAAGCTTTTTAATAAGATGAGATCCCAGTTGCTGATTCTTTGTGATAGTTCGCTTGCAATTGGGGTTTTATCATAAAATCTTTACCTACATCAGTGTCTTCAACAGTTCTATCTATTCTATCTCCCACCAGATTTAATGTTTTAGTTTTAATATTTAGATCTTTCACCCATTTAGTTTAGTGCATGGTGAACAATATGGGCCTAGTTTTAATCTTTAGTATGTGGAAAGCCAGTTTTTCCAGCACCACTTATTAAAGAGGCTGTCTTTCTTCCAGTGAAGGTATTTGGCTCCTTTGTCAAAGATAAGGTGGCTGACTGTGCCTAGAGTTGTTTTTGCTTCTCCTAATCTGTACCATTTATCCTCGTGTCTGGTTTTTTTTTTTTTTTTGGCAGTACCATGCTGTTTTTAACACAGCAGCTTTGTAGTATAATTTGAAGTCAGGGATTGTGATGCTCCCTGCCTTGCCTTTGTTACACAGAACTGCTTTTGCTATTCTAGGTCTCCTCTTGTTCCAATGACTTTTAGGATTGTTTTCTCTAATTCTGTGAGATATGCTATTGGAATTTTGATTGGGATTGCATGAAATCTATATTAAAAGTTTGGAAGCATGACCATTTTCACTTTATTGGGTTTTCCTACACAAGAACAAGGGATATCTGTTCACTTTCTGATATCTTCTTCAATCTCCTTTTCAGAATACTGCAGTTTTCAATGTAAAGGTGTTTTACTCCCTTTGCTAGGTTGATTTCCAGATATTACATCTTTTGGAGATGCTATTCTGAAAGACGTTGTTTCCCTAATTTCTCTCTCAGTGAGGTTGTTACTTGTGTACAGAAATGCTATTGGCTTTTGAGTGCTGACTTTGTGTACAACACTGAATTTGCTTGTTAAATCTTTTGGTGGAGTTTTTGGGGTCTTCTATTTAGAGTATTGTGTCGTCTGCAAATAATGATAATTTAACTTCCTCCTTTGGTGTATTTATTCCTTTTATTTTTTTCTCTTGTCTAATTGCTCTGGCTAATGTTTCCAGAACTATATTGAATAAGAGTGGTGATGTGGACATCCTTGTTGTGTTTCTGATTTTAGGATGGAAGCTTTCAGCTTTTGTCCATTTAGTATAATGTTGGGGAGCTTGGTGTGGTGGCTCATGCCTGTAATCCCAGCACTCAGGAGGTGGAGACAGGAGGACTGTTGTGTGTTCAAGGCCAGCTCAGACTACATAGTATAATATTGGCTGTTGGTTTGTCATAGATGGCTTTTGTCAGATTGAGATCAAGACCATCTGTTTTAATTTTCTGAAGGATTTTTTTTTATCATGAATGAGTATGGACTTTGTCAAATGCTTTTTCTGCATCTATTGAGATGATCATATGATTTTGTCCTTGGCTTTGTTAATATGTGTATTATATTTATTAACTTGCATATAATTAATGAAAATTGTTGTTGAACCATCCCTGCATCTCTGGGATATATTCTACTTGGTCCTGGTGTATGAATGCTTTTTTCCCCACAGTCAAAGTGCACAGAGACAAAATTACTCAGTTTCTTCAGATTTGAAAGAAAAGTTTCAGTTTTGTCTCCTTCATTGAATATTAGCTTGGCATAAGATTCTAATATATAAGAGCTAATCTCTGCATGTGTAAAATTGGGATCATAAAGGCACCTGTCTCAGGGAGTAGCTGAGGGCACTAAATAAGAAATGTGTACTGTATACTAACAGCTGTGGAAGGAAGTAGGTTGTGAGTCTGTTTCTTCTCGTTGTCAAATGCAAAGAATCTCTACTCTGCTTATTTTGCAGGGTGACCAAACGTGAGCACAGCATTTGAAGATGGTAAAGTGTTAAATAAATACCGCTGTGCTTTGCTGCTATGTCCAAGAAAGATCCTCATTTAAGGAGCCTGGAAGGCAGTGTGCCCAGTGGTCAGAGCAAAGACCTGCAGCTGGATAGACTTGGTCTCACATCTTGACACTGCTATTTACCAGTTGGGTAACTCTGGGCAGACTGTAAGTCTCTTTGCTCCTTGGTTTGATTGTTACTACTGTTTACTCTATAAAATGGAGGATAATAGCACCCACTTTTCAGTGTTAGCATGGGAATTAAATGAGAGGGGACACGTAAAAAAACCCCATTTAACATTTTTTTATGAAAAGGGTTTAATTATCACGTAATAAATATCTATTAATATTATATTTGTCTATGAAAAGGATTGGCAAGCCGTGATTTAGAACGTTCTCTTTCCAATTTTCCATCATCAAAATAATCACACTTCGCACATCCTCCCTGTCAGATTTCACAGCTAGTGGATTGAAGGAAAGTTATTTATCTGAATAACAAATTCTTTGCCCAACTTTCCGACCTGTGCATCCCAGTGAGGTTGTTACAGATCTGCATCAGCGTGAGGAGGATGGCAGATGGGTGTGGGATGATGGCCGCAGAACTGATGTGTGAGCACCTGTGGATGCCAGGCACTGTGCTAGGAGCTGTACAGCCTCTTCTCATTCAACTTCCTCCCACAAATGAGAACACACAGGCCCGGAGAGGCTAGGTAACTTGTCCAAGGCCACCCAGCTAACCCAAATTAGAGATTAGTTCGGAGCCAGCAGCCAACTTCAGAATCTGTGTTTCATGTTAGAAGCAGAAGAATTTGGGCTGAGCAGGTCACCTCTCACAGCCTGCAGTATGTCTGAGAGAGGAAGCAAGCACAGGTGTCCCTACCAGAGCTAAGGATGCCCCAGGCATCCAACGTGTCCCTTTATATGGATATAAGTTACTTGCTCAGTGCATATGCTTGGCAAATATTTCTTGAATGAATGAATAACTAGTGAATAAACACATAAGCAAATGTAGCCTTGTTCTGAAAACCTTGTAAACAAGGCTGCAAGCCTCTGCTGGAAACATCACAAAGAGAACTGTTGGATTCACTTTCAGCCCAGAGCCTAAGGCGCTGTTCACCTTTAACATTTATTCCTGGCTTCTTTTTTTCCTGTTATTATATTAATATACATGGCTGGGTGGTTGCTCATCAAATTTAGTCTGCATTTTTTAGCTTATTTCTAAGCAAGGAGTGCTATGAAACTGATTCTTGCCAGTGGAATGGTAGTGAAATTGATGAATGTCACTTTTTGGTTGTGGCGGTTAGGAAGCAAGCACACGCCTCCTCCCTCTTTCCGTTTCCCTCATCTGCTGATTGGACGGAGAGGTTCCTGAAGTCTTAGAAGATGAAGACAGAGCTACAATGCAGACAGAGCCTCGGTCGCTGGAAAGCTGCCCCTCAACAATTCACGCCTGCGTGACCTGTTCAGCTGTGTCACAAAACTATGTGTTGAACCACTGCAGGCTGGGGACTTGCTAGAGCTGCCAGAACTACCTTAAATATTCAGAACCTTTTGGTTCCTTCTGAATTATTAGTTTTCACAGCATTGTACAGTAAATAGGAGGAACACACGAAGGCCACCCCAGGTTTTCCTTCTTCCCCTGTTCAGGGTGCAGAAATGGTCAGTATAGTTCACAAAGCAGTTTTACATAACCAGTTCACCCTGGTAAGTCAGTGATGTACTCAGCTGTTACACAGAGGTGACTGAAATTCAGTGAGGTGCTTCTTCAAAGTCACCCAACCGGCAAGGAAAGGCAGAATGGGGGCACAGACCAAGGTTTGCCTCATCTTGTATCCTCTCCCCCTTTTGTCACAGTGCAGAATGCAAAGTTCTTTGCGAAGAAGTTTCCTTCTGCTAATTCGATGTTGGGGATGATTCTGACATGTGCCTTCTCTCCTCCTTCTTCACACCTGTGCTTCTGCCAGGATTTCTTTGGGAAGTGGTGCCCAAGGCTTGTGATTACAAACAGCTGTAGAAACAGGCGGCAAACATCACCTAAAAATAAGTAGTGCCTTGGAACACAAGGTGAGCGGACTTTCAGGAGGTGGACAGATCTGGTGGGGTGTGTGACATGGAGCGGCACAGGAAGAGCTTTGGTTCCTGACAAAAGGCCGCTTTGCCTGTTCCGACTGCTCTTAAGAGGTTCAGTGAACTTGATCTAGAATCAAGGGCAGAAAAGTCGGACTTACTTTTCTATTAAGGAATGAGAACACTCTCTTCAAGGGTTTGAGCTACCTTGAAGGTAGAGCTTGGTTAGCTCATCGATATGTTTAATTGTATGTTATTCAATTGTACAATTGTCTCAAAAGTATTTAATACAGTGGAAATGATCTCTAAAAATATTAGGTAACAGTATGATGCAAAAGAGTGCAATCAAAATCTGATTAATTTTTTTACAGTCACACACAGTTGGAAACAAGAAGCAGAACAGGAGATATTTCTGGATGATGAGATCAGAATTGAAATTTATTTATTTTTAAATTATTATCTGTCATTTTAAATTTTTGTGTAATAAATGTACACTACTTTGTAATCAGGAAAAATGCTAAGAAAAACACTGAGGTTAGTTTTCCTTGAATTGATTTAATTTTAAGGTTGATTTTGCTCGTTTTCAAATCATAGCTTTGTCAGGAGATAAAAGAAAATTAAGTGAGCTACAGAGATTCTGTCACAAATAATAAATTGCTATTAATGTTATAAATGATATAATATGCCATCAGACTGAAATTTAAAGCTGCCATAACAAATTATTCATACAACATTCAACTCCACACTTTTCAATTTATTCTGAATTGCCCAGGCTGCTTCATAGAGTTTATGCATCATGTGAGTTGTTTCATTTTGCTGTTGGTGTTTTGATTTGGTTTAGTTTTACAAAAAACTTTACACAAGCAGACAAACCAACCCAAAGGGCTAAAATTAAAAAGCAAACTAGATCATAAAACATACATACTATATAAATTTGACTAAATTAAAATTCACATAATCTAAAGAGTGTTTTAAGTGTGATAGGAAAACAATCAAGTTTCAAGGCTAGCAAATAAATGAACAAAATCTGTGAGGACATTTTGGTAAAAAATACAAGTAGGAAAGTACGAGGGGGCTACATGTTAATCCTGGGGGGGCAGCCATCATCAAAGCTGCATGACGCGAGCAGCTATGATGAACCCCAAATGCTGACTGTGGGAGCGGCCCATGCCTTCTCTCTGGTGGCATCCTTCAAAGCCCACAACTGTCACTCTGACCCTTTTTATAGTTACCGCCATTCCAGAAATCTGCTAGGTGGATAATTGAATGGAAACAAAAGCCTAAATGAAGACAAGAATTAACTGTAACATTTTCTCTAAGTGTAAAGCAAGAAAGGTCTCACTAAAACTCACAGGATCCTCAGAATATGAATAGATGTAAATTCTGGTACTTTCCCCCAGTGAAATACAAAGCTTTTACTGTAGTGATGATTCTGAGACCCACACAGAGCTATGGGGTGTACTTACTGTACAATATTAAATATGAAAGAATGTATTCTGCTGTGTCTTTAAAAGTAAAATCCTGTGCACCTAAGATCGAGTGTGGAGAAGAAGGAAAAGTGAGGGCAGCTGTATCTCAGTGAGGTTGCACATGACCTTTTCCCTTTCCTCGAATGTTTAAAAAGTTGTTTTCACTGTATGATTTTATAAAAAGGAAGATTTATATCTCTATTTGTCTCTAGGTATCAACAAAATACTTCTAAATGTGAGACCCATGTGTGATGTAAATACTGTTTTAAAATAAAAATGATTAAAATTACTACAGTGAATAAATAAGTATTTATTAAACTTCCTGTTTCTTCTTGCTGCTTGTAATAGTGACCACAAACACTGTGGCTTGAGGCAAGATATATCTATTACCATTTGGTTGTGTAGGTCAGAAGCTCACAGGGGCTCACCAGACTAAAGTGAAGGTGTGAGCAAGGCTGTGTTCCTTCCAGCTCCCGAGAAGGGGATCCTTTTCTTTGCCTTTTCCAGTTTCTAGAGGCTGCCTGGATGTCTTGGCTCATGGCTCTTCCACTGTCAAAGTCAGCAATAGCAGGTTTGATCTGTCTCACATTGCATCAACCACTCCCGCTCTTCTGCCTCTTCTTCCGCTGTTAAAGACTCTTGTGATTGGATTGGGCCCACAACAGTAATCTTATGTCAAGTTCTGAGGACTGATAACTTTAACTGAATCTGAAACCATTTGCCACATAAGAAACTATAATTTTTTTTTTTTTTTTTTTGCAGTACTGGGGATCGAACTCAGGACTTTGTGCTTGCTAGGCAGGCGCTTGTGCCACTGAGCCATATCCCCAGCCCCAAAAAACTATAATCCTTATCCTCCCTATTGTTTTGCTAATAGCCTACTATGCCAGATATAAGACTGACTGTGAGGGTGAAACTTTTAGAGTTTTTCAGTGATAATGAACAGCCTGCTGGAGCATGTGTGTCACCACTGGACTAAGAGATGCTGGGGAGGGGAAAGGTAGGCCAAAAAATGAAGTTCAAGGTTAAAAGCTGCCTACAGCACTATGTGGGCAGTGACTAGGGCCATGACAAACCAACAAGGGATATGAGGTGACTGAAGCAAACTTGGTTGCTTTTACCAGGGAGACTCCAGAAAGATTTTGTGGCAGATTAACACTTAGGATGTGCCTTTAAGGCTCAGTAGGATTTGCTTACAAAAAGATGGCGGAGGATGCTAATGGTGTTTCAAGGAATAAGCATTAGATTCAAACTGATAAATAGCTATTTTACAAGAAAAGATGGTCAAATATTGACTTTCAAAACTCAGCATCGTACATCAAAGCAAAAGGTATGGAGGCAAAAGAGTGAAGCACCAGTAAAAGTGCAGAAAGTCTCTTAACTCTTTCCTAAGTTAAAATTAATTGGTTAGTTTGCTTTAGTGATTATTCATATCCTTTTTCTCATACCAGCATGCCACTTACTAGCTCCTTTCTGAGAAAACTAGCCTCTTGACAATTCTTTATGGCATATAAAGTCTTATGCTTTGAGCAGGGCACACTTGCTGTTTTGATTTGACCAGACAGAACCAAAGGTTTCCTGGTAGAGAAACTTCTACTCGGTACTAAACATTGACCCAAAGGACTGTGTTTAAGGAATTGGGACAGGAAAGGGAGAGGGAGAGATCAGAGCTGCTATTGCATCCCGCCACTAAGTTCCCGTCA